TATATATATATATATATATATATATATAAACTAAAAAGATTTGATACTTTGAGATCATTCAAGCATTAGGCATTTCAGAGGTAATTTTAAAATTTTTAGGTTGTTTCTGGATAACAGAGGTACATGCTTTTGGATCAGTACAGCTACTGTATATTCTTTCAATCTTATACTAACTTTATTGAAATATTCGGGATATCATAGACCTAAAATCCTTGTGCCCATTGATTACCTTTGCCTCTGCTTCAGTAGGCATTGTATCTTATATGAACTATATTGCCACTTTTACATTTTTGCCAGATTAATATCTGACTCTGTTAAAGCTTCACCAGGATATATTTCATCTTATTTTGTCAACCTTTAATTAAGTTGTTATATTCTGGTAACCTTTAAGATAAGGTTTCTTAGAGGAGAGGTTTCAGGGTAATGTAACCTTTTCATTGAAGCAACCTTACCTAACAGCTTAACATAGGGTTACACTATTTTGCAGCTCAAGAGATCTAGCCTTTATTTTCTGTTGCTAAGTAGTTCATGACCCTGCATAAGCCATTTTATGTCTCTGTGACTTACTTGCTATAACTATAAAAATAAATTATGTTAATCTCTTTAATAACGTGCTGTAAAATTTGCTAATAGCAAGTGCAATATAAGAGATGCACTACTTTTTTCCTAGCTGTGATAGCCTAAGGATACAGGAGGATGAATGCTTGTAGTTCAAAGCAGGATCTTTTCAGATCAGCTGATTTAGTTGGAAGAAGGTTTGCATGCACGACTCCTTCTACAGGACTCACTGTTTATTATCTCTAAATATTGGGTCACATTATGCTTTCAGGGAAACTGAGTCGGACACAGGGAAATTCCACTGACTGCAGATAAAGTTCTCCAGTTTATTTTTAAAGTAACATCTTTTGTTGCACTTATTTTCCTTTCTTCAACAGAGTGTCTACAATTTTAAGACCTGTAGCATTTCTACTCGCTTCAAAATATTCCATAAAATCTATAGTAGATTTCACATATTAAAAAGCATCCTTTTGGAACCTGTAGTGTGCCCTTGCAGCAACAGTGTGCTCTTTCATGTATTAATTGTTGCATTCAATAGGTGTGTGTGCACAACAACATTGTCTATCCTGTTGGGACAACCTGGGAAGATGGTTGCAGGGAATGCTCTTGCACTAGTATGAGGGATGATGTTACAGGACTTCAGATGATGGAGTGTCACGACAAAGCATGTAACACATTCTGCTCTCGGGTGAGTAACATTTAAACCAGTGCATTAGCCAGCAGAACCCTGATGGGGATCTGAAATGATTACTTTTAAACCTGCATGTTTAGCAAAACCAGAGAAAAATAGAAAATAAATGTTGTAGCAACGAGTTATCTTGGGAACAGAGTCTAAGAAGGCCTAAGCATTACTGACTTTATTTTACGGTTATTGTTTTAGGGTCATATCCTGCTGCTAAGGAAATCAGTGACAAGTTTATTTTATATTTCAGTAAAAGGAGAATTGCATCCTGAAATATCTATAGTTTACATCACTTGCACAATAAGTACTTATGATGTCTGAAGTTCAATTTCAAATGACTGTTCTAACTGAAGTTCACTTTCTGAAGAGAACATTTTAGACCTGTCTATTGCTCAGCTCTGCCCATTATAGCAGTAATAACACCACATGCTGTGGCCTTTATTATGCTCAGACATCTGCTACGTGCTGTAAAATTATGTGGTCTACTTTTGGAAGCCCACAAAGGAAGTACGAGCTCCTTTGTTATATTGACATAATTAGTCAAGCACAAGGAGACAGATACTTGCTACAGAAAGATGGTAGAAGAGTTCTAGAAGGGTCAAAGAAATTGGTTAAAAGTCAGCAGCACTTGCCAGTGTCATAGATTAGAAGATTTTGACCATAACATGATTTGTGCAAATAAAAGTTCAAAACGGTTTCTGTACTTCCTTTAAACTACCCAATTTACATCCCTAACATTCATCACCTTAGCATAATGTGGAAAATAAAGAACTGAAAACTCATTGTATAATTGAATGTGATGCTGTAGAGTTACATTTTGCTCTGGTATCTAGCACCTTGTACCCATAATCCCTGAGCACTCCCATGTTCTTTCTTCATGAGGTTAGCATGGATGGGTCAGTCTGAGAGGACAGTTGAAATACACAGCTTATGTCTGCAGAAAAAGCAAATGGCAGAAGAGGTTGCCCAGGCCAGCCAAGTGCTAACAAACTCCCCTTACCAACTGCCGTGTGGCCACAGTTGTGCTGCAGACAACAGAGGCTACCACAAATACATTTTGCCTCTTTGTAAAGCCTTCCATATATACATGGATTAACTGAGTTTGTCCTTGATGGTATTAGCCAATTCCATTCAGCAAAAAGGCACATCTCACTTGAAGTCACTCCTCTTTTGTCCATGGTCTGGTGTGTTCACAATCTGTGAGTTCAGTAGGCTGTGTGGGGTCCATCTGGATCAACTAGATGTGCCTGTCTGGGATCCAGAATATTCTCTGCTTGTCCTTTGCTGTCCCAGGGTTTTCCTCATGGGTTTGTTCTTCCCTGAACCACGAAGTGAAGGCCAGAAGAATTTAATTTTGGTTTTTTTTAGGTTTTTGTTTGTTTTGTGTGTTGAGGGTTTTGTTTGTTTGTTTTGTGTTTTGGGGTTTTGTTTGTTTGTTTTTGTCTTTTTTTCTCAGTGCAGAAGCAAAGATGAGTTAGTTAATGCTATTCAGGTCTCTGAGTTGCTTTTTACATGTTTATATTAGGCTATATATTGCATTAGACCATGCAAAATTCAAACAGTTGACCAAGCAGCAAGTGTTTCAAAATATGTAACATCAGTGCTTTCAGTGGTCCAGTAACTGATAAAGGTCTGCATGTTGGCCTGTGACTCATTACAGATTTGGTGGTGTTACAGGTGACCAGCTACAATTTGTCAGTGTGAAATGCAAGGGAGGGCATACTGCAGCAGTGACTGCAAGCCCTTTATTTAAGAGGGACAGGTACTACTTCTGTGTTTGATTCACTGTGCTGACTGGAATGCTACTATGATATTCTGGGTTTTCTAGTGCTGCATGTGAGGCAAGATTCTCTTGCTTTGTTCTTCTCCAGGAGGTTTTTCTCTTCTTGCGGGAAATACAGTGAATCTCCAAAAAATAGGTCATGCACATTCGCCTCCTTTGCCAAGTCTCCAACCCTTTGCAGCATATTTCCCACTGTTTTTCCTAAACGTTTTAACTGGTTTTAAGAAGGCTGCCAATTTTTTTGGTTTTGTTTTGGTTTGGTTTGGTTGTTTTTTTTTTGTTTGTTTGGTTTTTTTTGAATGAGGCCTATTTATGCAGTTGCATTTAGAATAGAGGCTAAGAAAAATCAACGCATGATCTCTCTTGGTCCTCCTTGTTTTTGTTCAGTTACATTTAGAAGAAAGCTCTTTGTTAGATGATTGGACTCCATAATCTTAGAGGTCTCTTCCAACCTTAATGATTCTGTGATTAGAAAACACTGCATGTGCAGCAGAGGTACACAGTTAGAGGTACTATTTCTGCTTTTGGAAAGACATCATTAATAATGTGCCTGGGATTCAAAGACTGATCATGGGTATAGAGCGTGTGCAGCACCTCATGGCTGAGTTAATGTTGTTGTGGAAACCTTGCATTGGCTGAGTTGGTTTAAATTCTTATTTGAATTTACACTATTTTAAAACAGTTAATCACGAATGGAAATTTGACTATGAATGTTTCAGTCAAGCAGACCAATATCTGAAAAGCAATTAACTTTTTTGAAATCTATTAAGCAAATTATGCCTTCATTTTCAGAGAATTTCAAATGCCTTAGTACTACTGTATTTCAATATCATTTAACTTACAGTAGCTGTATCAGAACAAGGCTGGACAGCAGGCATGTATGTGCATTTGAGAAGCTGTTAACAAAATGTAAACTTTTTTGAATGTTTTCCTTTGCTGTGTCTTGAACGCTGCATAATTCCCTAGGACCAGAGGAAAAACCAATCCATTAAAAAATTCCAACAACAAACCAAACTATTGTTCTTTCTGCACGTGTAGAGTTTGGTAAGAAACATTGAGGATGCCCAATGCAGTGAAAAACATGAGGGTAGATGTGAGAGCTTTCAGCTTTGCAAGAGAAGCCCTTTGATTTCCATTTGTAGAAGAGGCTTGTTTCTAGTATGGCAATTATTATGAAATATTAGATCTAAAGTATCTGGTTGTGTTTTGGCTCATAGCCATAATTTAATAAATAATCTGCTTTTCTAATAAAGTATCTTTAATGCAGAGCTACTTTCTTGACATTTCAGCCTTAAGCACTGCAGTGTCAAAAACTTTTTTAAAACAAACAAAAAGCCTTGGGGGAAACTATGCCAGTTCTTTTTGGGTATCTGGCATTTCTTTTGCTCCTTTAACAGTTATCAAAGTTGTACAACCAAAACTGTAGCTGTTGGAGAACCTAAACAGCTCAGATTTTCTTTTTTAATTTGCTTATTCCTGATTTAGTGGATATGCATATCAAGGACCACAGAAGTTCTGTAATTCAGTTTGAAATGGCTTAAAGCTTATTTTTCAGTTCAGATCAGATGGCCTTGAAAGTTGTATTGCCATTAAATACATACTTTAATAATGGATCATTACTAAGATGATGTTCAAACTCTCTGCTGCTCATGGTTATTAATTCCATTGCCAGGTCTTAAAGTCGTGCAGTGTGTCACTGTTGTCTGTGTCATCTGACTTCTGTGAAAACAGCTTAGTTTTTTATCTAGCTACACAAAAAGAGAAAAAATGTAATGGATGTACTAGCTCCTTCACCCTGAAGAATGAGCGGTGCTACTGTTCTTCTGAGCATGACAAAATCAAACTCAAATCATATCTGTTGTTTTAGAATGTAAAGAAACGCTATGAAAAGAGTGTAAATGAAGAAATTCCACAGTTCTCTGAGAGGTTAAGAGCAAATGCAGCCTTCTTACTTGCATAATAGATGTGGATTTGCTTCATTATAGGTCGTAGTCCCCTCATTTTCTCTCTCTCTTACCAAAGTTTTGAGAAAGCAAGCAGGTAATTGCTGTAATTATCGCATGTGCCACAAGGAGGAGTGTTATCTGTATTTTCCTACCCTCCTGGAGCTTCTGCAGTAGTAATTTCTTTAAGAGTACAGCAGACTATATCCCTTCAGAGAATCATGGTGATAAAATGTATAACAGCTTTCAAAACACCTTAAAATCACCAGTACACTAATGTGAAGGGAGCACTTGCTTTGCCTGATTCCTGTCAATGTTCTTGGAGTTAGGCACTTTGTAAGTGATATAAAAGAGTGTGGTTTAGAGTGTTGAATAATTTAAAGTATTAGATGATTGTGAGAAGAGTCAAGCATAATTCTCTGGAATAAGTGTTTAAGACAAAGCCATTTGGCTAAGTGTGTGTAAATTAATTAGGTTAGATTTTTCAAGCCTCTTGATGACTACATTTAATTAAAATAAAGAACATTTGCACCATACTTGCAAAGGCATAGTGAATGATGGTTGTAATAGATGGTGACTACAAAATCTATGGCTTTAATCTCCAGTATTTCAAATGAATATTTTCGTTTGAGGTAGCATGTAAAGCATAGTAGTAAATGGCTTAATAGTGTATATTAAGCAGGTCAAAGAAATTAAAGGTAAAGGAAGACTGCTGTATGAATATTAGATGTGCAGGATCCCAGTTAAAAACTGTGAAAGTCTTGATGGGAGTTAATTTCAAACATCCTGCTTGCTTTTAAAAGCATAATTAGGAAATGATACCTTAATGTTCTAGAGACTTGCAAATAGAGAACTAAGTCCTAACCTGGGGTAAATAAGCATAGTTCCAGGGAATCTCTAGAATTGTGCTGATTCATCACCACTGAAAGTTTTGCTTACAGCATTTTGAGTTTATTTATATCCATCCTACTGGGTTTTTCTCAGTCTACTGTTGCCATTTTAATTATCTTTTTTTCCTCCAACCCTGTCTAGGTACTATCATATCAATATGTAAAAAACAAATACGGGACATTTCTTAAAAAATACTACATTGAGGAATCATCGCTGTTCTTTCTTTTCTGCTCTGTTGACCAAAAGGCAGCTGACAGAGTTTTCTGGCCAAAACCTTGACCTGTGAAAAGACAAACTATGTATCCTGAGCCACTAGTAGAATGAAACGGGAGTGCACAAATATGCCAAGCCATAGCCAGCGCAAATCCCTCTGGTAACTTTGATTAGGTGATGAAACCAAAATGTGCATTCTCTGAACGCTACAGAATTGATCTGCGTTCCTCCTTTGTTTGTCACAAGCTAAGCCCTGGTTCAAAAATGGGCAAAATATACCTCCCATGTAGAATGTCTTAATTCTTATGCTTTCACTCTCTGCTTGGGAGATCAGCTTTATCTCTGTATTTGTGTTTGATGAATCAGTCTGATCTGGTGACATAACTGAGCACTTGTCGTGTTCTCCATCACAGCTGCTGATTATCACTCCCAAGTCAGCCACATGCACCTGTTCAAATGCAAGGGGTTTCTTGTGCTGCCTTACCTCTTACGTCCCAGAGCACAGGGATTTTTTAGTCCTGCAGACCATGATTTGCCCCAGTATTACAGATGGTTAGACACTTATGAAGGGCTTCTTCTGAGTTTTAATTACCCATTTGGAGTTTGAATTTTGTGTTTAAAAAGAAAAAAAAAAGAAAAGGAAAAAATAAAAGGCAGGATACAGCAGAGGAGTAAAACAGCACATTCATTCCAGAAAAAGCAGGAGATGAGCAGAATATTGCCTAAAGAGCGATAAGTGGATCCTTGACCAAACTGCAGCAAACACTGGTATCTCCACAGCATCTATATGGTAGAAAAATGAAAGATAATGAAGGGATAGATGGATACTTACTACTTGATCTAATATAATCTTCATCAGCATGGTATCTGCTACCCATCAGATGTTCGTATTCATTGATGGTGCAGCTCAGGAATGATCCTGGCATACACTATTTGTACATTGGTCATCTAACTGAAAAAGAAAAAGAAAAAAAAAACCCACATCAAAATGCACAATAACTTTTCCTTTTCTTAGATGTAACCTGAAACACTACCAAGTTTAGAATTAAGTATGAAATAAAGCTTGTTTTATTCCTGTGGCCCCAAATATCTGTGGTGTGTGTACAAAATGTGGAGTTTTCTGGTGGTGAAATATTTCTCAAGCTACGGAGGATCTGTGACAATGGGGAATTACTATTTCCTTTGTCTGTTCTTTAAGGAGATCATGGACTGCTGTAGTTTGCACGTTTGTCTTCTGAGACAGGTTTGTACAGTGCAGTGGTTCAGGGGCTGTATTAGGAGAAACTCAGTAGAAGCTGAGGTCAGGACCTGTGATCTCCCTTATTTCTTCACCTAAGGAGTCAGCCCCAAGATTTTGAACACACTGAGCACCAAAAAGGCCGCTCAGGCAGGTTGACCCATTCAAAACCAACATCTTTGTCAGTGCCTTAGAAGCACATATCATACCTGGAGTCTGCTGAGTAGCACCTTTTTATTTGAGCTTCAGAGGGCTCTCATCAAACAAACTTAGTGAAATTTGGGTCCTCAGGCTGGATTTTAATTAGTCAAGATGCTGAGTTTATTCTGGGCACAAACTGCTCATCGATTTTTATTTCTCTGATTTTTCCACTAAAATAAGAAGTTGCATCCCATACTTCGGACACATATTTAGCAGATAGAAGTCATATGAAACAAAATGTTCAACAGTACGACTTTCCCCACAAAGCTATTTCTGGTATTACATTGTATGAATTATAAAAAATATACTTCCATGTGAAAGTCTGCTGATTATTAAGGTTTATTGATGTGCTTCATATAGCAAATCAAGGACAGTTCAGGAAGGGAGGAAGCATTTGGGAATACTTGAGCAATTTCAGTTCAAAGGGGTTGACCAAAAAAACCTACGCTTATTTTTGTTGGCATTTTTCACACAAACAATATTTTCTTTGACAGAACGAACATCTTCCCTTCAACTCTGTATTGAAATCAGTGTTATGTTTTGCTCTTTGGAGACTCTGTAGCTATTAAATATAGAATATATAATTTTTAATTAGAATAATTTTTTGCTTTCACTTATATACTCCAATGTTTGAATATTTGGCTAGTTGCTTCAGGAGGTGAAAAGATGAAATAATCAGTCAAAACTGATCCTTGGACTACATGTGTGACAAACCTCTTCCCTCTGCTTCAGCACAGGGCAGTCGGGTGTCTGAATGTGCTCAGACTGGATCCTAACTTTGAAGTCTCAGGGATGGGAAGGGAAATTATGAGTGCTGATTAACATCTGAAATACTACTAGAACAATTTTTATCTTTAATTTTCTTTTGCATAATACTATTTTATATATATAAAGAAAAGGATTTTTGAAGTACCAAATAAAAAAAATTATATGAGTTGTGGGTGAAAACAAAGGTTATTTATTGCAGTGATATTTTTTTTAACTGGATTCTTAACTTTTGCATATAGTTTTCTATCAAATCTCATGGCAATTGTGACAGTCATCCTTAGAATTTGGCTTACTTCTTTTTCCATTTACACTTCTCTGTAGAGTCGTATTATTGGAAAGACTTGCTCTTTACAATTTGCTAATGCATAAAATAAATTGCTTGTATAAAATAAATCAACATTTGCAAATGACTGCTATCAATGCAGATGAATTGGATGTCTTCAAAATATATATTAAGCAGGAACTAATGAGACCAGAGTTTCTAGTCCTAATGTTGTATGCATTTTATTTTATTTTTTTCCTGACAGATAATGTTAATATTTAACAGAATGCTGAGCTGGGTGGAACATTTGTTTGTTTCGTAATAGCAGTGTTTGGCCTTACAGTTTTATTTTCAAACTCGTCATAAAAAGTTCGTAACATTAAGAATTTATCCCAATGTTTTCTTTTAGGATTAATCTTCTCATTTGTCTTCCATTCTTGCATCAGTCAGTTCTGTTCTGTTTTCCCACAGGGTTACAAGTATATCGTTCAAGAAGGGGAGTGTTGTGGGAGATGCCAGAAGACTGCCTGTGAGGAGCAGCTATTCTGGTCTCGGGGTGATGCAGACTCTCGTTTGCACGAGGTGAGGTGGTGGTGGCATGGACACTTCCTCTTCTAGCAGAAGCACCCTGGAATTTCTTTGTTTTCCACGAAAGGAGATGAAGAAGATATGAGATATTCCTTCTATACAGCAAGCAGTGCTGAAAAACAGTGGGTTTTGAGCGTCTGATTTACTTACTTGGTTCTAACACGCAAACCCTCCCCACCCTTTTTGGGCTCTAAGGAAGCAATATTTTTGTGTAAAATTAATCATTTCACAAGCAGTAGCTCAGAAGAATTTTAATGGGACAGGATGCTTCTCTGGCTGTAGGCTATTTGTTTAAATTATCCCAATTAATTTGTATTACTCTATGGACAGCAGGCAGATAGGGTAGTGGGTTACTTGAATTTCACAGTCCTCTTTGGTACACACTGACATATCAGGAAGTAAATGAGGATAGAAATGTGAATTATAGTCTGGTTGATAAAGAGGATTGTTGCATGTCAGATCAGACCGCAGTGGTCCAGGTCACACTTGCTTTCTGCTTAATATAAGAGTTTATTTTCAACAGCGTGCCCCTACTAAGATTCAGAAAGACCAATGGGAAGGGAATGCATGCAACAACCATTTAAAATGCGCTGCACATACCATACCACTCTGGAAAGCTACGTGGATGTTTCTTTTCTTGCTTACCTTTATAATTCTTTCAGGGTGTTCTGTTTGTTCTGTCCCTAACCCAGTCACCCTTGGCAAACCTTTGCCTGCCCAGATAGCATTAAAATGCTTAATCCTATGCAGAGCTTTCAACAAAGCAGGGAACAGTAACTTAAATACATTTAAAATAATATACCTTCTACACATCTTTTCTTCCCTAAGTTTTTTTCTTTGTAATATATTCACATTTTCATCTACATCTCAATTTCAAATATTTCATAATAACTTTTTAATTGCTTCTTGCACACAAGCAGTCTGCTGCTGTCTTTAAAAAAATGTTTATGTATCATTTTGCAGCCTGCCTCTTCCCTGATTTTACCAAGGGCATTTCTTAATGTGGATCAATAGTCTTCTCTACTTCATAGAACAAGCCTTCAGAATGTCTCTTTTAATGTCTCTCTGTGTCTAACTGATTTCTGTTGTCCTAATGGACTAATAGATCCTTATACTCTGCTGTTTCTTTCTTGCTGTGTCCTCCTTAAATTCTTCTGTCATTAACAAAGAACTAAGTATTTAACACACAAGAGAAAAGTATTCCCTAACTTTCTGAGCAAAGGTTTTTGAATTTCCTGGAGTTTGAGATCTGATTTTCACTTTCACTGTTCTTCAAGCCCATTGAAAGAGTGGAGGCACACAGTTTCAAAGCAATGATCAGCTCCTCCCAGCCTTGAACTGTGACAGCATTTTCTTTCTGGTCTGTGGTGATGTCTCTTCCCATAATAGCACTTGAAGTTCCCACCTTGTCTGACTTATGGGTGATTATAAACTCCAGGACTGCCGACAGGACCCAGTCTCTTCTATGTTCTCATGTATTTTTAGGTCTAGACCCTATTGCCAAAGCCTACTTTGGGCTTAGTAGAGCTGATTTGCAGCAGATTCCAGCAGGAAGAGAGCCAGCTTGGCTACAATGCGATTACCCAGCTACTGGGTAACAAATGTAGATTTAAATCTAGTTAAGAGTGCTTTTTCTTCTTCACATGTTTTTTCACCTACCCCTCCATTTTTCAACTTAAGGACACTTCTGTAACTCCTATACTCTATGAACTAAGCAGCAGGCTGTTCTATAAGCTGGTTGTCACAGTAAGGATTTGCAGAGAACTGTTGAGTGACAGACTGTTCTGGACACAGCAAATGTGCTTTTTGCAAACCAACATGTTGGCTGTGGTGGTCTTCCCTCTATCCAGTGGCACAAATACTGCTGCCTATATTTGATTCTTTTACAATTTACCATCAGGTTGGCACAGAGTGGCGATCTCCCTTCAACCATTGCATTATTAATGAGTGTGTCCGGGTGAACAATGAGGTTTTTGTGCAGCAGAAGAATCTCTCTTGCTCTCAAATGGATGTGCCTGACTGTCCAGAGGGAACTGAACTACATTGTGACCAAATAATAGACTGTTGTCCTTCCTGCAAATGTGGTAAGGTTTTGTTTATGACAAATGGAATCACTAGAGAATGAATCATCTCATCTGTTGATCTCCTGTTTCTCAACAGCAATTTCAAAAGTGCATGTTATGCAAGTATAGTACTACTTTGAAGCTCTCCTGTAGAATTTAGATGTTGAGTACAATAGCATCTGTTGCTATTACTTTCTCTTTCCAACTGATATTCACTGTCTGCTCTTGAACTACTGACTGTTGAAATTATTGTGCATTGCTTCAGAGACATACCAGGCTATGTTTTTACAACTCTAGCCTGCATTGTTAAGCATTTAAAAGAGGTCTTGAGATGCATTTGGCCTAGGAAGGGTCAACGCACTCCCCAGTGCCTGCTATGAACAGGGAGTTTTCATCCAACCATGCTGTCTTCTGCTTGTCTCTGTGTTGTGGCTGTAGTCATTTCCTGGCATAGACTTGGGTCCAAAGTCCAAATCAGATTTGGCTAATTGGCCTCAATCTGGGAAGACTCACAGTCATGTTTGACAAAGTATACATGTAGCCACAGGGTGAGGAGCTAGCAGTGGGAGGAGGAGGGGAAATCTGCACTGTAACTTGCAGAAAACCTGAGTGCATCTTCTGAGAGTGTGAGGCTTGAACTGGAAGGAAAAATTTATATTGCGCCTGGTATTTGTTAAAAACTGGCTCAGCAGGAGATATTTGGAGGCGGAATTCAGGATAACTTGACAAAAAACTACCTTTTAAGGTATAATGTAAGAGGGCTCAAATATAAGTCTTTACAGTGCAACTGGATCTAAATGTCCTCAGTTGAAACTCTAATAAGTCAGAAAAGCATACCTGTGGATAATTAAATTTTGGGAATCTCATGATGATGGTAATGCTAAACGGAATATTATCTTCTTTTTCAGTACCCCTGAATGGTTGTCCTTTGAATGGCACTGTTATTGGGGTAAGACATGGTTCCTTTTATTTGCTGTGATGGTAAGACATTTAGATATATGAATGACCTTTTGAAGAACATGAACTTGCCAGCATATGCATATGCATACAGGGTAGCTTTGTTCAGGTGGAATCTCTGCAAATGAGATCTTGGGGTAAAAGCAGGAGCAAGGTGCTCAGCATGTCTGTCTAGTTCATGACCCTGCCACACTCTTCCTATATGACAATGAGTATCTCTGCAAAATGGGGACATTAATGTTTCTTTATCTTGAAGGGATGCTTGAGAAAAGTGCTTAGAAACGGAGGTAATCTGTGTTTTGTAATGGCTTGCAGGCTACCAAACACACAGGAAACTATCTGTGAGGGATAATCTCAAAAATTATCCTTGCCCACTTCAGGGAAGCAAAAACTTCCCCTATTCTACCTAGAGGATAAGGCAGATTAAAAAAAGGATGGAGACTCGTGCTCCACCTGTGTGGAAGGAGGAGTATCCCTCCCTGGCCATTAGAAGGAACAGGAAGGCTGAGCTTCCTCACTGTTTGACCTCTGTCCCCTTACAAGATCCCTGCTGACATGTCCTCGGAGGAAATTTTTTCTTGACTGCATGTTTAATAGATAGATTAAGACATGTTCAACCCAGCTCATGACAGTGGGAATGATGGGAGTTAAGCATCTGATCTCATTTATGCCGAATTTGTCTTTGGAGAGCTCTGTCAATTGTCCATTGTTTTCACAAATCCATATTTTGGCAGCACCTCTGGTGTCAAAGAGCTCTAAATATTCTCATCATCCCCCAGGGAAATAGGTCCTTTTTAGTAATTTAACCTAACTTTTAACCTACGTATTCCTGCATTGACCATGTATGTCCTTCTTTTTCATTTATTTAAAAGGTAAGTTTACCCAAGTCTCATTGGACTTTTGAGGTTTGGCAGAGGGAACCTTTCTCCATCTATTTCTTCTAGTTCTGACTTTTTTCATAGTTGATAGGCATAAGTTAAATAGTTTGTTAGAGGTAAAGCCCTGTCATAATGCATCCATCATTTTGTTTGGGGATTACTTCCTTGTAGAATTAAATCCAAGGAATAACTTTTCCTTTCTTGTTAGAACATTGGGAGAAGGGCTTTAAAGTGGTAAAATCTGCAATAATCTGCTTTCTCTTTGATTCCTCTATTTGTTTCCTCTGTAGTATGCTGTCAAAACTAGTTATGGCATGTTATCAAGATCATACTTGTAGAGAAAGTCATGCAGTATAGTAATTGCTAACTCCTGCCACCTTCTGTTATATAGGATATGCGTATATATGTATATATACATTCTCTGTTGCAAAAAGAAGGTGTCTTTCCAGTAGCATGCTATTCTTTCATGAAAAACTATTTTTTTTCTTCCAACAAAATTTTTACCTGATTTGTCACGTAAAGTCTTTGCTCTATTTTCAAGTGCTTTAAAGTATTTTAAAATACTTTAAAATGAATCATAAGTAAAGGTTGAAACAAAATGTCATGTTGAAGGCAAGATGAGAAAGATCTGTATTCTAAAGACTTTAAAAAAAATTCAGATTCCAGAATATTGAAAAAAAAATCTAAATAAAATTTGGAATGAAATCATAGTGTGTCTCAGCTGACACAAAACTACATTTTTTACTCATCTGTTGTCTAGCTATATATAAAAGCTGTCTTTAAAAAATTTTTCTTTTTTTTTTCTTTTAATACAGCTTTTAAAATGTGTTATTGTTCATCTTAACGGTTGGTCATTTTATCAAACACTGCCTGTGCAAGATTTTGAGGGTGTAGGTAGGCCCCAGCTGTTACATTACTTCTGTGCTCTTGCTGTTGCAAATGTCAAGCATTACTGAAGTTAGCATTCAACAATGCAGTTACCAAAATATTTTCTAAGGATGGAGAACGTGAAATTTGAGTTGAGATATAATCTTGGAAGATTTCTAAACAAAGTAGCCATTTTGAAAAAAAAAAAATTTCTAAGAATTTATGTTAAATTAATGAAATTTTCAATTAAACTAGGTTGATTTATTTACTTATTGTAAGCTAATTAACTATATATCTGAAAGATTTTGAGCAACTGGCATTACTGCAGCTTTGTCTTACAGTGTTCTCTACTTCAATGACTGTTCCAGAGTTCTGGTTGGGAAAGAAGATGTGGTGACAACGGAAGTTTATACTTCCTGGATTTCAAAACCTTTATTCTGGGTCCTTTAAGAATAGGTTTCAAGTTTCACTTTATATCAAGGGAAAACTTTGCTCCATTAACTCATTCACTGAACAGTTCCAAGTTTTGAGTCTTTTACTACAGTTCTGTTAACTGACTGTGTCCTTAATCCCTTTACATTTTTGTCTTGTATCTAGTTACCAGTATTATATTCCAGTGATTTGGTGTATTGCATTCACTCTGCTGTTCTTAATAATGCTGTGGGCTTTAACTGCAGACTTCCAAGCAGGTGGCTGTATTTACCATAAGGATTATCTATAACACTCATCTGTTTTCCCAGGCTTTTACTGAGTGGCATTTTTGAAGGAGATCTGAGTAGATTTGGGCTTTGTGCAGGTTATTTTGGTTGCACCGACTGGGTTAGCAGATGTTGACATTTCATTCTAAGTTAGCCAAGAAAACATGATAGGTGTATTACATAAAGGGAAAATGACGTATCAATCCATTGTTTCATTCAGTTCTGTCATGCCAAGCTATGTTTGTTCACAGGAAGCTATTTGCATGCTGATCCCTAAATACATTAAATAAATATCAAAGAACTAAGGTGTGATGCAAACTTTAGATCAAGGTAAGACTTGACCCCCAAAAGTTCAAGGCATTTGTGTGTGAGGATTTTGTTTCAACATGTCTCTAGTAAGTCCTATGTTCCTGCCCGTAACAGTGATTTTAATATAAAATCAACTTTATCTATCTTTTTTGTGTTTCATTGGAACATTGGAACTATTAGAAGATCCAATGGGGATATCAATTGTAATATCAATTGTGTCTTTATAGACCCTTTCTTCATGATATGAAAGCCTAGAGATACTGAGACATTCTGTGATGAGCACTTACTTCTAGAGGGCCCGCATTAAATACGTTTATGAGAGTAAACATAACAAACTCAAACATATTTTGAAATAAGTTAACATGATGAGGACATCTCCCAGATTTGCAAGGCTTCTGTGTGTACATGCACATGCGTATGTGAAGCTACTAACCAGCAGAGCAGTACTTGTGTCAGTGGATTGAATGCCCTTGTGAGGCCATGTAGTCTGTACTAGAACCATCACTGTCACTGTGGTGTGACAGTTGCTAGCTATCTCTCTCCCATAGGAAAATGTTATGAGTGTGTTCTCATGCCTGCATCTTGTTGAGGTCTTTTAACCCTCCAGATTAATGACATGATGTTCACTATAAAGGGTTAAACCAAGAAAGCTGAAGAGTCCCATGTCGAGGTCTCAAGCTGAGTTGTTGGAAGACAGGGATCTCCCCAATGGTATTACCAACTTCATCATGTTCTATGTGGAGGATCTTTTTTTCTAGACCCCAGGAAAACAAGAAAGAAGTCAATGCTATTGCTGGTGCTTTACAGAAAACCACTGAGGCCTAAAGACCTCTGTTGTGCTGGGGTGCAAAGTAATGATATAATTAAAATTCTTTAATTAGAACATTTGTCCTGCAGTGTGTATGTTGGAGTATTGGCTCTTAACTTCCCATAAACACATTACTTTTAGAGTATTACTCCAGCCAGCTTCTTGGGTTTACTCCATTTGTTCCATGAGCGCTTACTAGTGTGGAACAAGAAAAAAGGGAATTTTAGGATATGCATAGTATGTTTGAGAAATTCCTGTTTCAAATGAAGTCACCAGTGACATTCCAGTAACTTTTGGAGTACAAGTCAAAGCTTTTATAGTCTAGAAATATGCAGTGTCTGTTTACCTTATTTATTAGGTTTTAGAAGTTCTTTGTGAAAATATTGAATAGACTCCTCCCATTTTGTTCATTTAACCATAGTCATTTGTTATTTTGGGGTTGAAATGAAAGGCTGTGCTCTTGGCAGGCAGAAAGACTTTCTGTTTAGAATTCCTTTCAATGGTAAGAATTCAAATGCTAACTCCACATCCTTTTGTTTCCCATTTAATAGTTTGGCATCTTTGCTCTACATTTTAAATGTCAGTTTTGCTTGCTTTGGAAAGGTGATGGGAACATACAAGCAAGGTCCTGGGGAAGAGCTCAGGGAATCTGAAGTGTGTCCCAGCTCAGCCACTGATTTGTTTGAAACTATAGACAAGCACAGTTCTTCAATCAGTAATTCTGTTTCTGTTTCTTCTTTCTCAGTTTTAAGCTTTTAGGGCCCTAGAGATTCTAAGCAGTATTACTACAAGAACAAAACTAAGTAATTTCTGCCCATGATTTGCGGGTCATAATGATTCAAGAACAAAAACTTATTGGCAAACCAGTTCACCATACTTGGAGGAAAAATTAATGCATAGTCAGAATAGCTGATGACATCTTCCTCATTGTGTTCAAGGATTCTTTTCTTATGTGCTAGCTTTGTAAGCAGCTAAGTAAGAAATGCCAATGCCATTTCACAGATTAAGGAATTCTAAAGGGTTTACTTGAAAAAAATAGCCTCATGCTATGCTGCTTGTTGTGGAATTACAGTTGCAAAAATTTGGGTCTCTGAAAAGTGGGGACACTGGTTTTCTGTATTCTCTTGCCATGCGAGATTTAATTGAGGAGATTTCATCTAGTTAAAAGTTTTCATTTAGTTGAGTTTTGTTGAAGAGACTGTCTCTGACTTATAAACTGGTTCTAATGTTTCAGCCATGGAGACGCCTGATGGTGGATCAATGCACAACATGTGTCTGCTCCCTCCAGTCAACATCTTCTCGGAGATACACTCTGACATGTACAAAATTAAGCTGTGAACCGTGCCCAACAGTAAGTGCGAGTGGTCTGAATGTTCTGGTTAAGAATGTGTCTGATAAGAAGGTCATGTTCTTCGCTGTATACACCGATTTGTGTTCTGTGCAACTCATGGACTTGTTGCCTTTCTTCCAGTTTTTCTGAGAAGTCATGGCCCTATATTCTTTTTCCTCTGAACTGGACAAAATATACCAAATGTAATCTAAATGCACAGTGTAGGAAAGGTAACTTTTCATAGTACTCTGGTCCACAGGCACATTTTATTGCATGTATTAGACTATTTACCTTTAGGGGAAAATAAGATTTGGCATATAATTTGCAACAGGAACTGCTGTCTCCCTTCCTACAGTGTTATCTGTCCCTCCAGGGACCAACAGCTCAGCCAGATCTCCATGCTTCAGGGCTTTCCTTTGACTATTCCAAATTGTCTAATAGTCAGGCTCAATATTATTTGTCTGGTTCCCAGCCATGCCTTAGGTGATATGAGGTGATTGTCCTCATCAATTCCACTAGCCTTTTTGAAGTTCTTGCTGCTGCTTCGCTGCCATCATCTACAAGGAATGAGCTTGTCTGGGAAAGCCAGAGGCAAATAGCTCCCGTTTTTAAGGTGTGATCAGAGTGTCTGACTAGTTCTGCTCAATCATGTAGTTTTCTCTCTTAGCACCAATACCTCAAATAGCATGAGACCTAAGCAAGTTGCAGAGGCTGGCTTAAACTTCTTGCATCTGAAGAGCACAGACCAGTAGCTAATTTTAAAAGAAAAAGGCTTAAATGCTCCTTCCTCTTCTGCCTTTCCCTGATAATGGATAGAGCTCAGCCCAGTCATTTTGCCATGGTCATTGCATCAAAAAGCCACATCTCTAACATGATCATATGGGATTCCCAGCTGATGTCCAGAGGAGACATACATTGATAGAGTCCCTGTAAAAAAGGGAAGCAAAGTTTTGGATAAGTCCAGTTTTCAATTCCTGAGTAGAACTGGAAAGGACAATGTTGTATGTCGTTTCTGTGGTTTCATCTATATTAATAAACTAAACAGAGCAAGACTGCAGGCTCAGATTATGTCTTGCAACCATTTATCTTGAAGAATTGTCAGCACTGTCACAGCTGGCCTGTTCTAACTAGCAAACTTCCAAATAATGCCTGGGTGCATGTCAGTGGTTGAGATTACACAAGGTCAGCCTGTTTTGTGGGTAGAATGCATTTTAGACATACATGCATGTTCCACTTGTCTGCAGGGCCACCAGACTGGCCTTGACACCCTTTATTTGTTGATATGGATGTAGCCTGTGACAAAAAGGAGAATCTGGAATACTTTGTGTGGTTCCAAAACCTACTATTACCCTTCCTGTAAGATATTATAGTCACAAGCTTCTGAAAGGAAAATAAATGACCAAACTCAGTGCTAAGCATCTTCCTCTTTTCCACAAAATATAACCTGGCAGATCAATGAAAAAAACCAAGATACACTAGACTGAATCTGTGGCCAGAAACATGTGTGCATATGTATGTTCCCACGCAAAAATACACGAACATCAATTCTTGCTTTTCAATGCAAGAAGCCAGCTGTAGAAATTAAAGGTAGAGGACTCAATAAAATACATGGTAAAAAAAATGGGGAAACATTTCTCTTCTGCTTCTTTCACCACCCACACAATTCCCAAACAGCTTCTTTCCCCTACTTGACCCAAAAGAGCAGACTAAACAAAAAGCCCTGAAGAAAGGGTAGTTTCCAGTTGGGCTTATTAGGCACTATGAACTTGTGTTTAGGAGATGTGCAGCTACGCAAGGGATGTTGAAGGTCTAGGTGTATGTATCCCTTTGTAGCCATTGTAATTAATCTGTCGAGCTTGAAAGGAAAATTTATCAAGTAAGATATAGAATGTCTTCATTCCTGTAAGGCCAGTGGGATTCACACACATACTTGAGATCTTTCCTGTCTTGACGTAATTGATTTCATGGTATACCCAGATTAAAAGTGATTCCCTCATAATGGATAAAATCATGGCTTAAGAGTATATACTGTCTCAGGAGCATGTGCTTTCTACTGGTTACTGAAGCTGTGAAAGTAAATGCACTGGTAATTGAAGTGCAGCCAACTGCAGTACATCAGGGTCATTTTATGACCTACGTTACGTGCTTACAATTTTGCTAGTAGTGCAAGTTCACCTAAATAACAATGAACTGTGTTTTCTTCCAATGATTTAATAGTAAACCCCTACCCTCCCCGAATTCTTTTTTCTATAAAGAACATATTGATAACATACATGCCTTCACTCAACCAGAAAGTGTTGTCTTGAAAATGTTCAGCTCATCATAAGCAGCTGTTGCTTATGTGTAGCAGCTGGATACATTATTGTGGGACACTTCATGTGTTAACTCAGTTCCTTTCAGGGGTTTTTTTGTTAGGTTTTTTTGGGTTTTTTTGTTTGTTTATTTTAGGGGTTTTTTTTTGGAGGAGGGGTGTGGGTTTTTTGTTTTTGGGTGTTTTTTTTAAAATAATTTCCATTATCCTCTCTGTAACTTTCTTCCTCTCCGTCTACTGCTGCTACTGTCTTTCTCTCAATTTTCATTTTATTATGTCATAGTCTCCCTGATGATCTTTTTAATTCCTTGTTTTATCAAGCCATTTTCTTTAAATAGTCCAAATTTTCCACCTTATCCTTATTCTCCCCTTTCCCTGCCCACTACTTACTGGTTATCTTGCCCTTTTCTCCTAGTTTACGCACTTTAAACTAGTTTTCGAAGTAGTAATTTGTAGTTTTCATTAGCTTTACAGAGCAGCACCTGCACACCACAAATGTAAACTGTATGTCACTGAAAACATTTTAGTAAGTTTCTTACCCTCTTCTACTGTCATATGTTGTTTAGTAGAACTGACCTTGCAACTGTTTCAATCAAACAACATTGACTTTAGTGGACACAGGACGCATTGTTATTGGAAATAAACTTCTCTCCTTATTATATAATAAATCAGTATAGGAATTAATGCCAGCCTGTGAAAACAAAAACAACCAAAAAACCCCAACGTATCCAACTAATTAGACTAACCTACTCTTGTTCTACTGTTTAAAAAAAAATTTTGCTGGCTATCACT